ACAGGAAATGAGAAGCCAATGTGGAGAATGGAATCCAGACAGCAACTGGAGTGTGTCCTCTAGGGCTCTTTATCATTTCCTCAAAAGAAACACCAAGGCAGAGTGAAAATGTGTGTGCAGTAACTTCAGCAATGCAGTTCTTGCTTCTATCCCTGGTAATGTATACTGGTTCTAATTGAGTGTATATATTGATCTAATTAGTGGTTTCTTTCATTCTTTTACTACGAATTAAGAAATTGTTCCCAGAGTTGGGGGAAAAAATCCTATAACTTTCTGTATCTTATTATTGTACTTCTTTTAGAACCTTTTTCTTATAAAATCTAAAATAGATCCATTATTCAATGGCAATTCTACAATTGTTCTTCACTATGATTCTAATAATACCAATTTCGATATATTTCATTGGAAGGTTTTTTAAAGCAATGAGTTACATATATGCTGTCACAAAGAAAAGAAGACATGAGGTTTAAGATTAAATGGATTTATTCTATTAGAAATATATTTTCAAGGAAGACTCCAATTGGTCGAATGGCATTTTCCTCCCAATGTGACCAAGTTTGTAACTTAAGAGTCAAAGAAAATTTCTAAGAAATCTTACAAAAATAGTTTGTATTTTGAATAACAAAGCCTATTCATGCAATTTACTTGGTATCAGTAAATTGATAGTGCATTTATGTAACCATGCAACTCTATTGTAATATTCTACCACAGGTTAACTAACTACCTTAATTATTAGTATTAAATTATGTCATAGTTCAGTAAATACCACCCTATCTATCAGAATAATGTCTCTCAGAAAACTATGATATAAAACCTTAAATATAGCAATAATTATCTTATCTCCAAATTAAATTCTTCTATTTTTTATTTTTTACACCTACATAAAATTTAGGTTTTTATAACTGCATACAATTTATGTTGATGGAATATAATAAAAATGGTTCACCTCTAACCAGAATAGCTTCAATACTTATAAACATAACATTTCTTAATTTCACCATGAACACACCATGTAATGGACAAATTATCCTGTCTTAGCCTTTAAATAGTCCTCAATGATTAAAGGATGCCACAGGAATAAAAATGTGGGCTGTGAAACATAATGCATAGTCTTACTCTCTAGATCTACTGAACGAGGTAAAGCTATGCACGTGTGTCAAAGGAATGATTTAGCAAAATTCTCTGTTAGTCACACATTCTACGAGGTCACAATCACATCTATTTAAAAGCTTAAATGTATATCTTTATACTTCAATATAACACAAAACCTAGAACAGATTACATTAAACACAGAACTCTGAAAGTAATGCCAATATACTACATTTCTGGATAAAGAGAAAATAAAAATCACTGAAATTAGTTAACAGATTAGACAGTTAAGCATTTGGAAAGTTTCAAGTAGCCTTTTTCCTCTAACTCCAAAATTGGCACCAAAAAACTTACTACAAATATTTATTTATTATAAATATATCTTGAAATAACCAAGTAGTTATGAGCTATTATGTAGTAGTTTCATGTAGAAGCAGGGACATTGTTAGGTAACTGCACATATCTCACCCAAGCCACATAACAACACAGCAATAGTATCAGCAGAAAGCAAGATCCTAATTTCACCAGCTAGGAAACTCAGCAAAACTAAGAAGCTAAAAGTGCTTCTTCAAGCAGCAGGAGGAAACAGACCACTGGTTTAAATGAACCAAGGGAGTTAATGGTCATTAATGAAAAGATAAAAGGCAGATATAACATATGATGGTCATTTAAATAGCAATGCCATAACAAGATGCTGCTTTAACACTAAGAATACATTTAATGACAAGAGGAGACAAAATTAACGGAAGAGGGGGTAAGGGTGGGGCAATTTCCCCTCAAGTAATCACAGCTGTTGCTATCCCCTCTTGAGAAAAAGGACAGAAAATCACCTCTGGCTGGTATCTGTCAGATATAGCTTGATAACCACCCCCCAAACACACAAGCACAGAAATCTCACATTTCATAAATGAGGCGGGTGTGTGTGTTGATATATGTATACATCACATGGTTGAGGGAGGAAAAGACGTTTGTGAAGCACAAAAACTGCAGATGAGTGTTGCTCAAGGTCATTCCCTTCTTGAAAAAGAAAGGGGGAAAATGACTATGAGAAATGGTCTAGGGATAGGAGTCAAGTGACAACTTCTTTTCCCCTGCATATATGTTCATGTCTGCTCCTATGGGTGTCCTGACTTTATTATTCTGTCCCTTTTAATAGTGACATAAGAGGGCTTACAAGGAAGGCATATTTTGCTAGGAAATTTCTTATCAATACCTGACAGTGTTAACCCATTAATGAGCCAGACCACCCCTGAGTACAATGCTTAACAAATACTGTGGACTCAATTACAAACTGGTTTGCACATCTCTGTGTCTCCATACAAGGGAGAAGAACAGGGGGCAGAAACATCCATTTGTTAAAGGAACTTCTATACATGAAACTCAATCCTAGCAGATCTTTTTGGTTAGAACATTTCACCTAACCCCCTGAACATGAGGGTACTAGGACAAGACTTAACCTGAAAAACACTAAATCTTTGCTGAGAAAAGGCCAAAAAAGAAAGAAAGAAAAAAGTAAGTGAAATGAGGAGGGAAATAGGGAAAACATTATTTTCCCAAGTACTTATATTCTCTGCCAGCACTCCTTGTTTCTTGGGCACCCTCTAAACAGGCATGCCCTATTTGTTAGCAAATATTGCACATGATATACTTTTTGTTGTGATAATTTTCCTGAGAAATTTGGGGGACAAAGGTATGTCCTCATCAGATTTTTAGAATGCACAACTCAGATTTTTTTGTGTAGGATTTTCTGAGTGATAGGAGAAATATCAGTAAATTCACTAAATAAGAAAAAAATAAGAGAAAAATTCCCACCTAATTTTTTCCTAATTCCCAGCTATTTTAGTTTCATGCAGGCAGTAGTACCCTTTTCTTTTTGTATCTTCAGAAGGTAGGGTGTAGACCTGATTTTCTGTTAAAGCTGAGTTACTCTGTATATCTGTTTTTTTGTTCTCTCTGAAGTTTGAAGTTACAGTGCTAATCTGTCTTTAGAGTAGCCCTATCTTCTTAATGTTTACTGGGCATGGGGTGAAGAGGGTGGTTCTCGGTTGTCTTTTCACTGGTAATCCAACTGAGGGTAAAGGCGAAGTATAAATGAGCTGATTGAAACCAGGAGAGCAAGAGGGAAGAGAAGAAAAGGACAGATGGAGATCTACGAAAAACGCACATAGTTCCAGGTTTTGAATCCTGAGAAATCCTCCAGTATTTGAATATCAACGGCTTTGGGCGGCAAGCTTTGCTTTTATGTTCTTGAATACTCATTTATAAGTGTGTGTGTGTGGGGGGAGGGGGGGAGCTGCAGGCTCAGAACATTACCGACCTCCATGCATCTCCCTTTACCTCCTTTCCCTAATAAACGTGGGGCCACCTCAGCGACGCGCCTGTGGTCTGCCAGGGGGCCCGCTGAGCTCTGCCAGCCCCGCCCCAACAAAGTGTCAACGAGGGCCTGGCAGCTGCAGTGGAGGAGCCCAGCCCCCAAGCCCTCTGCAAACATGGCCTTGTAGCACCACCAGCCTGCGAGGGCTGCAGTAGCAGCCGAAACCAGACTCCAGAGGAGTCGGGCACACCAAGGAGAGCAGCAAGATAGTGGCCAGCTTGCAGTTTGCAAATGCCATCATACTGATATCTATTGAAACACAGAGAGAAGAGAAATAGCAGGCAGCGCCCTCACACTTTGCTAAGCAGATTCAGCAAAGAGAAACCCTGGGAGCAGTCCCAGCCAGTCTCCTAAGAGCGGGGCACCCTGGGCTGGGCCTGGCCTAACCCTCCCCTGGGTGCAGCCATCAGGCAGCTCTGGATGGCGGGAGACAAGCGAGCACTCCTCAGCTGAATTATTCAGACCACCTTCACTATGGAATAAAACATTGATGAGACCACTTGGGAAGTGCTCTCTCTTGTTAATCCTAATGCCTTCCAGAAGGGAGTGAAATTTTCTGTAGGGGACACAGAGGTGATTGGAAAAAGAAATGAGAAATAAGGTGTGATGCTGAGGGGCTTTGGAAGTTCACAAAATTTGTTCTGCCTCAGCCTGCCATGGGAATCTCCATTTTAACACGAGACCGAATATGTTAATTCGGCAGTCACAAATCCACCCCCTCCTTGTAGATCAAGAATTTTCAAAAATACATATTATTAAAAAAAAAAAAAAAACACTGCACACAAACCCCTCTCCATAACTGAGACAATACAGCTGGGGAGGGTGCTTGGGTAGTGGTTATGGTTTTAGCCTGGCTCCTCTAGATATACAAATGACTTCTTTAGTGGATCTATTTTGCTACATAAAAGCAAACCCTCACAGTTAAACCCTTATCTCAACAACCGCCACCCACCCCCCCGCCCCCGCCCCATGACAATGAATTCCCTTCCATGCAAAGCAAGTTCCCAAAAAAACTCCATTTGGGATTGAAGTCTCCAGATGTGCAATTTACAACTACTAAAGAATCTGGCAAGCTCAGCTACAATAAGGAAAAGAAAACAACCTGGCACCAGAGGTAGAGAAGGGTCAAAAATGATCCTCGCCTAAAACGATGGGTGGAAACCAAACACCCTCTTGCACTCCACAATCTGGGGAGGGTTGGATACCAAATGGTCCATGACAACCGTAACCTGAAGGAAATACAGGATTTTAATGTCTGGCATCTTTAGATAGGTTCAACATGCCTCACTTTCCAAAAACATCAGTTAGGGTGGAGCGTATCCATATTCCCTTAGCTTTCACTGCTAGATTAAGTGCTCAGGTATAGATTGATATTCCACCTACTAGAATTATATTGCAACATCACAGAACGCCCTTGGATACTCAGCTCTTAATGATTTCAAAACATTAATAAGTAAAGTAGCCTGCAATGCAGATAAGACACTAGAAACAAGATCATAAGGAAACTGGGTGAGGCGGGTACTCATTTGCTTGTTACCTGGTGCCTCTGGAGGAAAAGACGGTTGTAGGAGGACTTTCTGCCCGCAGGTACAATCCCGGCAAGGTGGCTCCAGGTGGCTTTCACAGTCTTACGCGGGTCTGGCTCCTCACTTCTCTGCCTTTTGCCATAGCTCAGCACCTGCATCCTAGGGAGTCCGAGAGGCGGCTTCTGCCACTGCCGCCGCTTCCTGCAGGTCGCGCTGGGTGGGGAATCCGCGGCGATCGCCCCATGAAACCCGCGTTTCTGCGCCCGGGGAGCGGGCAGAGACAGGGCGGCCGCGCACGCACACTCAAGCACACACACACACTCGCACCAAGGCGCGCGCGCACTCGCATTCACACTTGCACACGCACATCCAGCACAACACGGGGAGGGGGCAACAAGGAGGGGACTGGTCCTTTTCACGATCCGCTGGGATGCCCACCGGACCACAGGCAGCAAAGGAAGTGGTCTGGCATAGCCGGTAGATCACGTTTCTTTCAAGTCCTCCTCCAACCCAATCCAAGTAATTCAAAGAGCTGGTGACATTTCGATGAGGAGGAGAGAGACGCTGAGAAAAGGCTGAGGAAGAGTCAGGGATTTTGTTAAGCAGTTTTAAAAGCAATCCTTTTTACCTTGTTTGTTCAGAAACCAGCACAAGCTCGAAGGTCTGAACTTTTGGCTTCCAATGATGTGCACCGAAATGTAAATATCTTTCTGGCCAAGACAGGAAGGTCTGGATGCACAGAAACAAGACCGCTGCAGGACCCTCTACTGACCTTGTAATGTACCTGAAAGCAGGTTAATGTTGGCGCTGTCCAAGCCTGTGGGTAAAGTGATCCACACGCAGGGGTTTACAGCAAGGCAGCGGCTCCGAATCCAGTCGGGAACACGGGTTTGAGCGTCCTCCGCCCTCTTCGACAACCCATGCACAGAGGGGCACCGCCGAGTTAATACATTTGCTTCTGGGCAGTTGGATAAAAAACAGTCAAACGCACCAGAGAGATGCGCGCATACACGCACACACACAGACCCAGACTGCTGGAGAGCAGCTTATTTTAAAAAATGCCAAGATGACTTTGAAATGAAGAAGAGATCTCCAGAATTGTTCCGGTAAACGAAAAGGCCAGCAGCAAGGTTATGAAAATCTTCCCTGGTCTTTCATTGTTCCTTTCTCGTGTGTGTGTGTGTGTGTGTGTGTGTGTGTGTGTGTGTGTTTCCAGAAGGTTTCGTTTGTCTGCCCCGGCCCCGTCCAGTTACTCTTTTTTCTCCTGCTATAAACCGACCGTGCAAAATGGATTATGTGGGTAGGTTGTGCTCAAAGCCCAGATCTCCGAAAAGTCAGGAATCCTAAGGTAATAGCCAGTTGCGAAACCCTTCACATCTCGAGGTAAGAAGGAAAACCACGCGCAACGCATGACACTCGCGCGCACGCACACACAGTGTCCTCGATTCGGGCCGCTCTGCACACGCTCACCACCTTCCTGCCCGCCACTGCACACAGCGCCGCGCCCGATGCACGCGGCACCGGTGGGAGCCCGTGGCTCAAGCACAGGGTTGTCAGCTCAGTTCCGGCTGCGGCCCCGGCCAGGGTGGGTCTGGATCCCTGGCTCTGCTCCGCGGCGTGTTCCAGTAACAGCTACCGCCCAGTCCCGAGAAATTGAGTCCTACGCTGCAGCATGGAGGCGGTGGCGGGCGCGTGGCCGTGGGCCCGGCCCTCACCACAGTGACTGGAGCTGCAGCACGGCCCAGACACTGCGAGTCAAGCGAAACCTGCGCCCGGGCAGCCTCGCCATCCTCGCCGCTCAGACCCGGGAAGGTTCAGAGCGATTTACCCCCTGCTTGTCGTAGAGGGCTGGCGCAGCTCCCGCACATCCCTGGGCTGGGAGGTGCGGGGGCGTTGCAGACTAGGGGGAAGGGAGAAGACGGAAAACCTGGAGCGTGAAGACGAACTTCCTGGAGGTTCCCAACCTCTTCCAAGGGGGTACTTGCTGACCTCTCTCTGCCCCATGGTTACGGTATAAAGGGATTGGCACCGGGGCAGCCAGCCACTGATGTCGGTGGAAAAAAAGCCATTAGTTATAACACACCGGAAAGATCTGAGACCGAGGGCTGCTGACTTGGGATTCTAGTCACCTGCGACTGGCTTCCAGTGTCCCTTTAGTAGTGTATCAGATAGTAGGTTTGCTTACAAATAAGTTGGAAGTGGAAGCTAAAAAATAACATTTGCATTTGTGAATCAACAGAGCTCAGCTTCAGACAGTACCAATGCTGCAGTTGGCCGCATTTTAGTATATTAAGGGCAGAGAGCAAGCCCAATAGCCATCATAGGCCAAGCCTGACCATTAAGGTCACTGGGACAGGAAACGGGTCTGAATCAGGAAAGAGAAGGGGGGTGGGGAGACGGCTACACAAGGCCCCACCGGGAGGGTTCAACTTTTTGCGTCTCCCACAACTCTCCACGACCCTAATCTCACTCCCTTCAGTCGGGAAAGTGCTTCTCGGGAATCCCGAATGAAATCTGGCTGTTCCTTTCTGCTGCAGCCAGAAACCCTTTCACTAACCAGCACGTGGTCTTCGTTCCCAGAGAGCACCACCCCTCTCGGCTCCCATCCCTCCCAAACCGCCCGGACACGAGCCTGAATCCAGAGAATGGAAAAGTTGGGGGTTGCAGAGGGAAGCTGGCTAATGAGGGCCTCTTCCTGGCCGACGTGGTAAAGCCACGTGCTAGCGGTCTCCTTAGACCGGGCGCTCTCACATTTAGCTACCAGTACGGCTCTCCCGGTTTTAGGTGTGTCCTGCACACCCACGAGCTCACCCAAGTGCTTACACGTGCAACCACCCGTAAGCAGGAGCCACACACAGCCGCCTCCTTCGGGAAGAAACCGGAGTCGAGGGGCACTACTTCTCGTATCATCTCCTTCCTCTGGTCTGCTTCTCCTCTACGCCCGCTGGGCTTCGGGTCCAGTCCCGGGTTCAGGAATCCCCGCAACCCTCCTGGCCGCGTCCTTCCGAAGAAGCGCGACTCTGGGGCTGCAGTTGCCACCGCACCTCTTCGCTCCAAGGAGGCGGAGGCCCAGCGTCCGGGGCCCTCGGTGGAGGTCAGCGGGGCCCTGGCGGAGCCGGCGGAGCCGAGTTCGAGAGCTGGAGGGTCAGATTCGCGCAGCAGGGGGACTGTGCGGCGATGCCGAACAAAAATAAACCAAAGGGGCACCGCTGCAGTCCTGGGCAGAATACAACCGTCAGCGATGTCCCTGTGGCTTTCCACGGTGAAAACGTGGTTTCCGATAAGTCCACGGTAAGAACCTGCAGCGAACTGAGTCCTGGGGCTCCCGGTGGAACCCGGGGCGAGAGGGCTTCCATCTCCGCTGCATTTGAAACTTGGCGGCTCTGGGACTTCGCTGGAGGGCAGCGATTGCACCAGCACGGGCTGCCAGACGCGAGAGAGCACTTCCAAATACTTTAGGACGCGGGGGTGACTCCTTTTTCCTTCAGGATTGTCCCACTTTCCCCCTTGTCTGCTAGGCTGATAGGAACCGCAAACCTCCAGGAGGCAAAGCGTTCTAGTTCCCCTGGGGACCAAAGTATAAAGAGGTGTTTAATGAGAAATCCGAAGACCTTGCCTGGCTGGACTAAATAACTTTTCTTTTTTTGTTTTATTTTATTCCCCCACCCAGTGCCTGGATCGAGGTGAGGAGGGGGACTTGAACCAGTTCAGTCGTAGGAAGTCCAGAGTTGGGAACAGGGCAAAGTTCCACCATCTTTCTGGAGGTGTGTTGTTTGTTTAAGAAGGATGAAACCCACGGATCCTTAATGTAGAGGGTCATAATGTGTAACTTTTAAGAGTTCTTTTACGTTGCAAGCCATACTAAGTTCATAAAAACATGCTTTCTTCGTTGGTTAGCCTTCCTATGCATTATTAATTATAGCATTTAAAGTGTTTTCCTCTACTTTCACGTTTCATCTCATCTCTAGAAGGAACTCTGATAAAGCCTTGTACCTTTCATTCCCAAGTGCAGCGTCTGTGTTCCGTTCCCTCCTGCACAAGCTCAGGAGAGTTTGCCAGTTGAGAGGAAGGAGAGCTTTGTTTTATATGCTTGGATATTCACGGCTAGGATATCCAAGAGAAGATGTCACGGCTAGGATATTCATTCCCACAGGGTCTTTCCTGAAATTAACAAAGGGTAATTTTTATTTTTATTTTCTTCAGAGGGGAAAAATAGCCTCTAAAAACAATGGCAATTTCTACTTTGTCTATATAGTTATGATTACAATTAACTGACTCTGAAACTGTATACTTTCAAGAGTCTAAACAAACTCCTTGTACATAGGGTCTCTTTACACATAAGTCTCTAAAGAGAACTAAAATTTATTTCAACAATTTAGTTTTTACTTTTCTCACTATATCTGCCTAGACTTTCTTAATTTATCCCTCAATCCAATGTTTATGCCAAAGCACCTTTAAAATTATGTCAGGCTTCTCTGTCCCAGATTGTTTATGGTCATAGATGCTGGACTGTTTTCCCATGATGATCCAGAATTTGGGGAGAAAAAGGTGACTGTTCTGTTCATTTCAGACAATAAATGGAAATATGAATATTTTGTAGTTAAAATGATAAACACCAAACAACCTGAATGTCTGGTTATATTATTATTTAGCATTTAAGTTTCTTCTAAGGCAATGAAAAAGGCATTTTAAAATTGTAGTTAACAATTTGTTTGCTTACTCCATGTATTTTCTTATTTTTGTGGATTGAAATGTGTGATAAGTTGGAACTTTAGTTCACTTTTTGTTTAATGTATAACTTTACAAAACTTATTTTCAATGGAATTATCTCCAGATTTCTTGGGTGACTAACCACTATTGTAAAGAACTTTTGATTCTTTTTACAAATATAAAATTCTCCATTAATTCAAGACTGGAAAATAATATGAAGAACCAACAGGGAAATACAAGTTTCTGAATCGAAAAAATAACATTTAAGAACACACATAATTAAAGTAGAACTCCAAACTTCAAGTTTTTTTTAAATGACTACCCCAGTTGTGCCCTACATAGTTTTGGAATATAAAAAGAGATCTGCTTATCTTAGAAACATGTTCTGAGGTTGTACCTGACTGTAAAGTCCTCAGGTACAACTTGTGTTGGCAGTTAGACTTGAAAATCCAGCATATTTCAGCCACAAGGAAACAGATTTTTCATTGAGCTATCCTGGACATCCCCCTCAAAATCAAATTTATTTCCTGCTTAGCATTCTTCTGAGATACAGAAGATATTTCTCCCTTTATTTTATTTTTAAATACAAATTTTATTGTTTGAAGATGTTTTTACTTGCTCTTACGCAAAACATACATTTACTTTTCTTCCTTCCTCTATCTTTGTGATATTTTTAAATCTTTATGGATCCTGATAACGGGATACTACATGATTTAAGGTCTACCTTATGAACACTGAAACTAGCAATAAAAACTCAATAAATTCCTACATAAAAGTGGCCCTTTCTTTAACTAAGAAAAGCGTTTTTTGAACCTTAATTTTTTAAACATAAGTGTAATGATTTTTAAAGATAGTGTCCCAGGAAGAACTTTTTGAGACAGCACAAAGAGAAGGGGTTATTTCATAGATAAACATCACTGAACAAAAATGGCAGTTCGTAGGCAATATTGAAAGTAAGAAGTGAATTTTATTTTTAGTATCATTTGTTCTTTCTTATTTGCTTACATCCTGGTATCAAGTCCTTTGTATTTGTCTGGTGCTTCTATTCAGTAACCCCAAAGCTCCAAAGTACAACATCCTATCTAGGAATATCTAACCCAGAGAAGAATGATACACCATGGTGATTTATTTTCCAGTCAAAACCTCCATCTAGTCATATTAGATGGATCTAATTAAATTCTTAAGAAGGAAACAATCATACCATGATAATTCAAACTAAAGTGTCAGTGACTAGCAGTTAACTCACTTCAGTGATATGAAACTAAGTTAATGTCTAGAAAGCAGAATATCTGGCAGTGAGATACATATATAGGAAGCAAAGTCACCTAAGTCATTCTTAAATTTGCATCCGAGATTGAATGTTAACTGTGGTACTTTTTTTCTATATTTTATGTTTTGTATTTTTGACTGTTCCATTAAACAATTACTAAAACCTATATTTTAACTTTGAAGGAAACACTTAGAAAGTTTTATATTTATATATCCATATAGTATTCCAAGAATATTTCCACTTGATCTTGAAACTTTAGTCTAAAATGGAGCCAGTCATCACATAATTATCTGAAAAACAAAAGTCTGCATTACTGCCCTTATGATTTGATTTACGAGTACTGGTAGGCATGCCCAGTTACATTAGATGGAAGAAATAAGCTGTTGAAATTCTATAACTTAAGGAAGACTTAACTTCTCTAAGAAACATGATGATAAACTACATAATAAATCATTT